AAATCAGAGAAAGGCATTCCAAAGGAACATTCTTAACCCTCTTCTAGAAAGATGGCAAATGGAAAGATAGGGTCTGCATAAAACAAGATCCCCAGACACCTGGTTAGATGACAACTCAGTTACTGCCACAGGAGAAACTTTCTTAAACCACTCTAAGTAGACATCAGCATTTAAGCACACCTGTCCCCAGACAACTTGCCTTTATAATGTCAGTGCATCTACAAGGACATAAATCCTTTTTTACATTTACCTTCATCTAAACTTGTGTTAAAGCAATTTTAATATAAAGAGTAAAATCCAACTCATGATGGTCATACTGTACCCACTTAAAACTGTGAGCCTTCTCACAGCTCCCAACATCCCATACAGTCCTCATATGAGTTCACAAGGTAATTCCTAGGACAGTTCAGGAATTAGGAAGAGAGTGTCTGGAAACTAGCAGATACCAGAGGTTCACTGACATGAGAAAGGATAAGAAGTAGATAGTCTGAATGCTGCAGGCTAGCCAATGAGCTGAAGAAACCATCAATTAACTATTATGTGCACGGCAGAACCCTTCAAGTTCCAGAAAATGGAAAACCCACTCCATACTAGGTAACATGCCAAGTTGCTGCAGTACAGCACAGTGGTTCCCAAACCTGTTCTTTGTTTCTGCTGTATTGCTGCTGGTCCTATAGAGCAGGCTGCCTACTGAAAATCAACTGATCCTTAGAATCTCACAATACCTGCAATACAGGAACCTCTGTAAGAAGTTCCCACAGGAGCTAGAAAACAGCAACTCACACCACCACCACCACCCCAAAAAAGGGTGGTGCTTTCACATAGTAGCATGTGCAAATCCATTACATGCATGGACTGTGACTGCCCGTTCTGAACCCCAGTATCACAAAGGCCTCAGCATTCCCCTGCACAAGCATGCTAGTCTCAATGCAAGGATTTCAATCAGAGCTTAAGCCAGCGTCAGTTGGTCCAACTGTTCACCCTTAAATCCTTTTCTTTTTTTTTTTTATTTGATACTTTACAAAATACAGTCCTCAACTAAGTTTAAGCTTTACCATCAAAGCGAAACCTCTACCTCAGTGAAGTCACCAGCAAAAATTACTACTGCTCAGATTCATTTCGTTGTATGAGATTCACACGACAAAATGCAGACATCTACATCCAGGTTAACCACCTAGCTTCCCTTGATCATGAGTGAAGAAAACCAGACACTTTTAGAGTCATCTTCTCCTAGAGAAGACACCTAAAAATAGGTTGACTGATTGATTCACAAAAATGCTTTTTTACCTCCTCAGGCTGAAACAAAGATTTAAGTGACAAGCTCTGTATTGCAGATATCTAAAATAAGCAGAAAGAAACCCACACAGAATTTTATTCTTGGTTTTTAGATGAAAACACAACTTGTATAAACGGAACCAAGCATACCACATAATGCAGACTGCTCGGTAGAAAAGACCAGAATACATAATTATTCATCACTTCTTCACTAGGAAGGCTCCAAATATTTAGAAACCAGACAATAAGGTGAAAAGTTGTAAATGTTAACTGCCCATATGACCAATGAGCTGAAATAAACTTTTCAAATAATCTGATCAGGTTCCCTGGAGATCCCAAAAGATTAGCACATTTTTGATACTGTGATAACTGAGAATTGATTTTCTATTTTAACAAAGTTACTTCAGCTATTCTGGGTATTTTCTGTACTGTATCATTATACTTTAGTATCTCTTCACGGATTAAAAATTAACAGAACAGTAATGTTTGCTTCTCCACAGTTTCAGCTTCCTAATTATACTCTTTGCTACAACAGGATATATTCACCAATTTATTCAACATCATCTCTTCCCTGATATGTCTTTGGTTCAATCACTTAAATAGGAGTTACATCCTCACTGTGGACAACTTTCCCATATTTCCACACAGCTTCAAAAATCTGTCTTCTAATTTTCACCTTGCCTGCCAAAACTAACACCCTATGTGTAATCTCTGGACTGGATTCCTGGGACAAGAATAGGAGAGGAAAATCTTGTGACCTCTTATGCCCTGCCACAGAACACAGTATATTTTTTCCCTCGTCTTTTTGTCAACACTGGTTGTTCCTAACAATGGATACTGATTACTCAGACCTTCATTTCCTTATTTCTTCTTTCTTACTCTTCCTAGCTAATTATCTTACACAAAACTATGCATCACACCACCTGCCATGCCTTGAAGGAGAAGATCAGACTACTGACAGATGGAAATATCTCAATAAGACACAATATAGACATATAATACAGAAAAATCTAGATCATAACAGTAATTCCAAAACCGAAAATCGTGAAATATGCAACCACCAGACAATGTCCACGTTTTTTTGAAAATAAATTTAAATTCTTATCTAGAGCTCCTTTAGACTTCAAATATATAAAAAAATAAAATCAAATTTCCTAAGGAAAAAAATGCCAAATATTGAATGCATATAACCTTTCCGAGTTCTACCAAGACCACAACTTTTCCTGAACTCTATTCATCAGAATGTATTTCAGTAACTTACTGAAAGAGATTGCAGTAACCCCGTAACACTATGTGATTTATGGGTGCAACACGTATTTTTACAAAACCAAAACCTATTTAAATAACAGACTGTTGGAAAGGTGCAACAGGACTGTTGCATTCAACAGCTGTGAAAAAGAACATGCATCTTACACATGCACTGCAGTACTTGAGCAAATTTATCCCCTCTATAGTCACCGTTTCCACCTTTCTTCTTAGTGTTAAATATATATAGTTTTACTTTATGTATCCATAGCAAATTTAATTTTCCAACTTATTGGTGTGCTTCTCCCATTTTCTAGATTAAATAACTTTAACAACCTGGTTACCCTTCAGTTCAATGAAGAACATAAATTTGACATAATCTCTATTAGGCAGTGAATATTTTGCAGAGGAAACTCGATTTTTTTCTCATGCATACCCTCATGTCTCATAATTTACATAACTTTCTAAGACCTTTCCCTTGCTTCACTCTTCATCTTTACTACTACCACGCACCATGAACAAAGGCTCCTTCTCAAAATGGACCAGCTAATGTTCAAGCTCCCTTCCAACCTAGACATTTCTATGATTCTAAACATAGAAATCTTTCACAATATTTCAACAGATAATTATTAATATTAGTATCTTGATAAACCATACAGTTTGGCCTGGAATCATATTTCAGTACATTAAAGACTGTGTATTACTATATTTCAGTATATTAAAGACTCTGTTTCAGTATGTTACAGGCTCCAAAGCCTTTTTTGTGTTGTGACACTTTTTCTATAGCTGATACTTCTTTCCAGAAGGACTCAATAGCTTTTTACAAGATGTTCTTTAAAAATACACTCTGTAATGAAGACTCAATTCATTGTTAAAAAAAAAAAAAAAAAAAAAAAAAGAAGTCACAATTGCCAAAAGCAATTTTGAATATAAACAGTAACCTGTTCTTACAAGTCAGGACTGAAGTGTACAAACACTGCCATAGTGACAATTAAGTAACAACCTCTGAAGCACTTGTATTAGCCTTCATCTTAAGAAATACCACAATTTAAATGAAAGGAAAAATTAAGATGCTTCAGCTACCCTTCAGATCACTTAACACACTATGCTTATAATCGGTACTGAACAAAAAAAATACAATGTAATTATTCTAAAGATTATATGGATTCTAATTGGTATCAAAGCCGGTGTATCAGCAATGGTGTTGTAAAACATTCTCTTTTTTTTTTTTCCTTTTTTTTTTTTGTGGCTTGAACAAGTTGTCTTACTGGTAACAAAACCATGTTTTGTTTCCAGCTTACTTGTGTCATGTGAGCCCTAGTAGTTCCTCATGGCACTCTAAGGGACCAAGGTGCTGCTTTAGTACAATCCTGTACTTGCACTGAGTAGGCAAACAGAACAAGGCCAGACTTCTACTTGCCAGTAAGTCATTTTCATCTAGACAGCCATCTACTTTCACAAAATTTTTAAGAACCAAATACAGCTGAAACCTGTGAGTGAACTCAAAATTATCAGTAGAAACGACTCCATCACTAACAGAAAGCATGACTGTTTTATGTGCCATTTCCTTCAGAAACCAGGCCAAAAGAATAC